CAGTGCAGCCTAAACAGACTGTGTTACAGAAATTACTGATTTTCTTCAAATGTTCTAAGATGCATCAAGGAGGATATTGGGGCATATAAAGCTTAATTTCTAAAGCAAGAAACAGATTTCTAAGTGTAGGCTTCTTTTTGTTATAAAAGCAGAGGAATTACGAATGAAGTATTTCTTTGATGATAACGTTACTATCAAACAGCAGTAAAGGACACAGTTTTAAGAAGTTGACATATTAGTAAAAGGGTATATTAAAACCTGACACCCCTTTCCTTAAACCTTCTGCAAGTTTTAGATATATTTTAGATTGCTTAGACATTTTGGGTAATGAATTGTGTATTTTAAACACGAATCCTTGAGCAAATATCTTGTTAACATATCAGTAGGCGTGTTAATAGGCAAAACCATGTAAGATATCAATGTACCATTATTCAGCAATTTCAGCTTGAGTGCTTCAATCTCAAAAATCTGCAAGATCAATCTGAAAAGCGCTAGCTAGGTGTCAGAGAACTGACAAACTGTTTATATTTAGGCTGGTGTCCTGGTTTCGGCTGGGATAGAGTTAATTTTCTTCCTAGTAGCAGGCACAGTGCTGTGTTTTGGATTTAGTAGGAGAAGAATGTTGATAACACGCTGATGTTTTTAGTTGTTGCTGAGTACTGCTTATGCTAGTCAAGGACTTTTTCAGCTTCCCATGCTCTGCCAGGTGCACAAGAAACTGGGAGGGGGCACAGCCAGAATAGTTGATCCAAACTGACCAAAGGGCTATTCCATACCATATGACGTCATGCTTGGTATAGAAACTGGGGGGGGGTGGCCAGGGGGCAGCGATCGCTGCTCGGGAACTGTCTGGGTATCGGTCGACGGGTGGGGAGGAATTGCATTGTGCATCACTTGCTTCGTGTATCATTATTATTATTATCATTATTATACTGTTACTATTAGCATTACTATTTTACTTTATTTCAATTATTAAACTGTTCTTATCTCAACCCAGGAGTGTTTCTCACTCTTACTCCTCCGATCCTCTCCCCCATCCCATCGGGGTAGGGGGAGTGAGCGAGCGGCTGCGTGGTGCTTAGTTGCTGGCTGGGGCTAAACCACGACAGCTGGTAATGCAATGTCTGTCCATAAAATTGACTTAGTAAAATTCAGTAGCCACTAATACAGTTGCTCCATCATTGAATCAACTGTTTGGCAACCCATCACACAGCAGTTTCACAGAGGCCCTGACCATCTCTCATTCAAGTTACAGTAGTGTCAGTGTAGATTATTCAAGTGTAGTAACTCAAGGCAACTTCACTACGGTGAAACCAAGAGAAGTATATCTGGTACTTTTGGTACTCGTGGGAAAATTGGGGGGGTTACTGGCAAGTACTACTGCTCATTATGCGTGTTCCTACGTATCAAGTGAAATAGCTAAAAATAAATTTACGAAATACATGTTTGCCATTAATAGACTATAAATCTAAATGTTTGAAAGACATGGAAAAAATCTAGAGCCAAATATGCAAATGCAAACTCAGATATTGTAACTCTTGAGTGCTTGCTAGCATAAACTGAAAATGAGGCAAAGAATACTATGCTGTCAGCTTTAGAATGTGAGCCAGAGCATTAAAAACCTGGGCACGCAGAGGCTGCCACTTTGCCAATAACAAGGACTGCACTAGGATCCAAAACTAATAGCATAAGCCTTCAGCTAGGGCTAGAGAGCAAACAGAAAGGACTGTGACCAGGAATAAACACAGTCCTGATGCAAATGGAGAAGATGTACGAATGTGCAGCCACAAACATATTATACAATTTGGGAACACATATGCTGCACTGGCTGGTGAAAACAAGGACACTACCCCTGAACCTCTATAGTTAAGTCTAGCATTTGGCACTAAGGAGTCACATTTTTCGTGGATGAAACATGTAATACATGCTATCCAGTGAGTTACATGTAAGTTAGAGAGAGAAAAAGTAGCCAGCTGAAGGCACTCTAAAAAGTAATAGGACATATGGGATTCAGATGCAAACTGGCGAGCAGCAGGATGTCCACATGAGTCACCAGGATCTGAAGGGTGCCTAGCATTAGCAGGATCAAGCCCTCAACCTATAATAGATATTCATAAAAGAAAAATCATTATTGATGCTTGGACAATTTTTAAGCCAAGTTTACTGTTGTTAACCAAGCGATAATGAGCTGTGCTAGTGAGTGTCATTGGAAGCTGTCATTTTCAGCTGTCATTCTTGCTAACAGAATGCCACATAACATGATGCAAAATATTGCACATTTCACCCACTCAGATCACACCTGCTAGCGAGATACGCCTACACAGTTAATTTTACTGTTCACACAGTGACCAAATGGAAATCAGAATTTTGTGCAGTTTCTAATATTTGTGGGTTTGGTTTTATTTGTTTATGTTTTGTATAAAACTCACTCAGTCTGTGTATCATCAACAGATTTCTAAGTAAAAAGCAACCCACAAATGACATGCACCTCTAGCTAAAATGGTTTCCTTAGATTCCTTGGACATTTTTATTACAATCTGGTATACCCTTAAGATTTTCACAATTTGCAATTGAAACAAAACCTAAAAGCTAGATCTACCTCAGCTTAATCCAGGGGTAAAATTCAAACATATAAATTGTCATTTCTCTTGTCCTCAGCAAGCAATTTCAGCTTGACAATGGGCAATTTATTGGTCTACAGATAGAAAGAATCCAGATCTATAATTTAATTATATAAACATCACTTAAGACAGATTCAAAAGCCACTTGGATATCTGACTTTGATTATATTTCACTAGGTCAATAAATATTCTATTTGCTTCTCTGTCTAATAATCCCAGTATCATTTGTAATAAAATGAAAACTGACATCTGTGTACCTGTATATATCTTCTATATCAGGAGCTTGTTATAGAGAAATAACTCATGTGTGCAGTTTTGAATTTTTTTAATTTTTAATTTTCTCATGCCTTGCATTTTGTCTGATCATGACAATATTCAGCATCCTATTTTAATGGTTGTATTTTTTGTGCTGTCAGTGGGGACTCTAAAAATTTCTTAAGATCAATTAGCTCATTAATTCTTAGGGGAAAAAATGTTTAATACATAGCCACTCAGCTTAAATTGTTTCTATATCTTTTGTAACAATCATATTCTAGATACAGTAACTCCCCCAAGTATTTACATTAATTTTCTTTGAAAAAATTTGTGACAGTTGGAGGAATTATCAGGTACTGAAATGTGGGCATACTTTTGCCTGGAAAGATATTAAATGTGTATTTTTTTCTAGAGAATCATGGCAAACCTTCCCTTTTCTTTCAGGAGGGATAAAAATAACTGTCATCATCACGAACACGAATCATATAAAGCACATACTAATTCTACGTCCACATAGTCTGTTTGAGAAAATTAGGAAGAGTTGGAGAGCAAAACCCAAAGAGCTGATAAATCTACACTATGAGAAACAATACATTAGCCTATATATACATATGCATTATTGTTAGACTCTTTAGTATTGAAGGTTTGCATGTTTATAGCCAATTTGGTATCTCTGATAACAGACAGCAGAAGCATAGATTCATATTTTGCCCGGTTTTTTTGTCTTTCAATCCTAAAAGAACACCAGTACACCATCTCAATTATTTTTAACAGTGACTTTACCTTAAAAACATCTCCATATTCTATATTCTAGTATCACAGATTTTATCTGAGACTACACTCTGGTGTTGTATTTTTTAACAACAGCATATTTCACCTTGAGTTGCAACAAATGACCACGTAAAATTAAGTGTTCATTCACTGGGTAATACTACATCCTAATTGCATCCAATACTCCACAAGAGATGTGCTGTTAGTAAGTAGTCCCATTTGGCCAGACAAACAAAGAAATTCAAAACATGAGCTGCTGTGAGCAACATAACCTGGAGTATAGTTCCAGTAAGATACATCTTGAGATAGGTCATCCATTTTTAAAAGCTTGCTAATAGCAATCCTTACTAGTAATCAGTTTTCTTCTTTCATAAATATTTTCCAGTATTCGAACTGCTAGAATTAAAGTTGTTATAAGGTCCTAATTGCTGCAAAGACTTACTGCTGAGTACCAAGTAGTACAGAATATTCTCACTGATTTTCAGCATCTATGGTAGATAGATTCTGTCACAGACTTCTTGAATGACCTTGGACAAGTCACTGACATGAGATATTTAGGTGCTTAAAGAGTCACAAAAGAACGTGATGTCCTTAGATTGGAATGGGGTTAGGCAGAGAAATGTCTACCTATATATTTAGGTGACTCTAGTCCTTTAAAAATCTGTGTGTTCTTTTTCCTCCATTCTGATTTGTAAAATCAGGAGTAAATATATCTTCAGTTTTCCAGTCTGTGTCCAGCTGTCTATGTTGTTAAGATTGTGGCGGTTCCACACCTGATGCTAGAGTAGAATTTAAAGGTGGGGACTTACACAGTTTTTTTAATACCTTTTTCTGCTTCTACAGAGACAATGCCAGGCTCACAGCTCTTGCGATTTGTTGTTTCTGAATGGTTAACAAATGGTTTGCAGTCCCCATGGCAAGCAATGACAGTTGAGAGCTTGCTTTGTTCTAATTTATGTTAATATTGTGAAATATTTTGCAGAAATACTGCAAAAAGAGAGCTCTTAAGCTTAATCAGAAAAGACATACTTAAAAACTGTAGGCTTGCATGAAAAAATGCTAGTCCAAAGGACCTAAATGCAATATTACATTTATCCAAATGGAATAGGTAAAAACCCCCTCAAATAAGAAATGAATAAATTTGCTTTTAAAATGTCTTTTTAGCCTGAGGAGTCCAGTAAGATGCTGTGACTGGAGAAAGTATGCAGCTGAGCTCGTCTCCTGCAAAACTCACAAAGATTTCCTG